AAGAGACCTAAAGGACGACCCAGGACATGCTGGAGGGACTATATTTCTTGGCTGGACAGAGAATGCCGTAGTATTCCGACAGAGGAGCTGGCCCAAGTGGCTGGGGAGAGGGAAGTCAGAGCCTCTCTGCTTAGGCTGCTGCTCCCATGCCCCGTCTCTGGACAAGAGGAAGAGGGTGGGTGGATGGATGGCTAGACAAAATTAATCCAAAAAAATTATAATAAAACCCTCTCTCACATTCTCATTCTGAAACATTAAATTCAACTGTTCAAAGGACATCAAATTTACAAAAAGCCTATGAATAATCCTTGATTTAGATCATAGATTACATCTGACAAGCCATCACTGATTAGATTTTACCAAAGTGTAATTTTCAGACTAATTTTAGTCAAACCTGCTGCATTCATCAGAGTCTAATCAGACACAGCGGTAATATCACACACGACACCAGAACCACAGACATCAGTGAGGCACTGTTTAGAGAGACACCTACAGTCGTTACATTTCATCGTTTATTTTGTCACCCGTGCCTGCACCAATAGATATGAGAGACACCCAGTTGGTCATTAAGTTGGTGGTCAGAGCACGTTTTAGAGCCCTTAAAATAACTGTCTTTGAGTTAGCAGAGTTAAAATAGTTTAGTAAACACACTCACAAATTTTTTTCACATGAGCAAAAGTTTCAACAAAACAAAGATGTTCTAGTAAGTATATGATAATTTGAAAAACATGTCTAATGGATGCTTTTCACAAAGAATTGCAGTCCCAATTTAAACATAAGCATGGGGAAATGGAGACAAGCATCGTTGCAAATGTCCTTTGTCTTGAGAAGGAAATCCCTGGTGAGAAAATGGTTTTATAAATACTCCACAAAGATAAAAAAACAAAAAAACATTACAGACTAACATATTGTCCAAACGGAGGAAGAACTGGTTCTGGTAAGGAGAAAGTGGCTCACCTTTTACAAACTTGTTTTATGCCTCAAGTGTTTGTAGCTAGGGTGTGTTTTGGTGTTTCTGCATCAAAAAAAAATAAAAATGTTTGCAGGGAAAAGTGCATCTATACTCAATATTTTATTAAAAGTTGTTGACAGAACCCTGCAGGGAAGAGTTATGGTGTGGTATTAAGTAGCATGGCTGTTTTTCTTAACTGAAGGCTAAAATGTGTCATAAAGCCAGAAACCAAAACCCCATCCTTCACGCATTATGATGGTTGTTTGTTTAAAAATACATATAACACTTATAACGCACATCTTGAGAGGGGATTTCCTCAAACACAAGAAGCAATCTAACAGTTGTTTTATGAAAATGAATTAAAGGTTGGAAGTTCAAAATTGAGACCACAAGGAATGGCGAGTCATTGTAATTAAAGACCTGCAACATTCCTACAGCGGGGAGATAAACAATGGAATAAACAACTCACATTTCAGAGAGAGTTACTAAATGAGAGGGTGAAACAAGTTTAATGTGAAATATGTCTAATGCTACATTAACCAACACTGACTATGGTGTGGTGTTCCCAACACAGTATAGTATACAAGGTTGAGTAGAATGTTGACTTTGACCAAGTTATGGTGCAATATTCATTGTTAAAGTTTGATTTAAATGTATTAAAAATAAACTAAACAAAGACGTTTAGACTGTGTTCTGGGCAAACCAGTTACAGCTTTTGATCTCTGTGGAGATGTGTTGGTAAGAAGATTAAAGTGAGTATTCACAGAAAGTAGTCAGAAGAAACACAGAAACATCTGGAATACGGCTAGCTTATGACAGATTTAGAAATCTATTGTGAAGGTGAACGATAAAAGCACTAGCAAAAACATGGCAGACTGAGAAACAAGAATATTTACACCGGAAGAGGTGATGACTAGAATGGAGGTGTTCAATGTGCTGATTGATTAGAGAATTGAGGGAAACCAATACAAGATTACAGGAACAAAACTGAACATCTCTAAACACAAAGGAGTATAAAACCCCAAACACATAAGTGAGAAAATACAAGTTTAAACTACCAAACCACACAAACTACCCAGTGCCATGACAGTTCTGTTACAAGGTAACATTGTTAAAATTTCAAGGTTTTTATTGCAGGGCCTATTATAGAACAGAATAGAATAGAATAGAATAGAATAGAATAGAATAGAATAAACTTTATTAATCTAACAGTGGGGAACTTCACAGGTAAACACACATAAGCAGTAAGCTATTATTGTAACTTTCAGCCACTAAAAACAACAAATTAAAAGGAATCTTGTGTTTCCAGAACTATGCAGCATAAGGCACACAGACATACTAATACACATCTGGTATTGCACAAGTATTCAACACATACTGAATATTGCGTTGATGCTATTGTGTACCAAGATGCCAGTACCAGTTAAACTGTGGAGTTACACACTTTAGCTGCAGAGGGGTTGAATGACCTGCGGTGGTGTTCTGTTCTACATCTTGGATGCCTCATATGGTAAAACGGTAAATGGCCTGTATTTGATGTAGATCTTTCTAGAGTCCTGGACTCTTAATTCTGGGTAATTATGTAACTGTTTCAAACAACACATGTGAACTTGCACGGGTGAAAATAGCTGGTTTCTGCAGACTTCTTATTTTTCCGCTTTAATTGGGATCCAAACAAACAAGTTACAAAATTGATTGAATCATTGGAAGACAATTAAATACCGTTGACGTAAAATTAATGTTTTTGTTAAGAGAGTCTGGCAGCTTGTTGTGAGGGCTCCAATCCCCTGATAGGAAACCCTGTCCAGTAGCAATGTACAGAAATGAAGTCATTATTGAAGATAAACATTGATTTTGTTTGTTTCTTATCTGGGTCTTCTCGCTGTCTGCATTCATAGCACCCATGGAAGGGTTCTGAAAACTTGAGACTTCAGACAAGAAGCAATAGACATTGTTTATAAATAAAATCCAAAATGCCATTTCCACCTTTTTTCGGAATAATCTGGGGATTTATTTGCTAAATTAACGGCCTTTTTTCAGGTTAGCTTGGTTAAAGGCATGATAAGGGAAATCTCTTTTTTTCATATGCTATATATATAATAGAGACATACAGGAGAAACACCTGATGGTAAATCTGAGGTTTGATGTATTGCCCAAAGGCATTTGCACGTGGTAGCTGGGGATTGAGCCAACAGTCTTCTGATTAATCTCTGACAGGTAACTTGAGCACTTTGTGGCAAATGCATGGAGAAAATCTACAAACTTCACTATTTTCAAGAAACACAAACATCAGAGTTAAGAAAAATGGAAAAAAATTACAATATGCTTGCTGTTTTTGCTCCATCCCCTAACTCTTTGTAAATATGGAATGATAAGACAAATAATAGCAATTTGGTGGAAGATCATCAAGCTTTTGTTGCCTGTTAGGATGTTATTGTGTATCATCTTGTTAGATTAAATATTCCTTTTGAAAAGAGCAGACCCAGTTTTGTTAAGCTTAACTTACAAATCATGTGAAACTGGGCATGTGTTTAGTAACTTTGCTCAAATTTTGTAATTTATGATCCAGTGTGATGTTCAGTGAGATTAAACAAAGATTGACAGTTTAGTCTATTTGTCAAACCATGCCCGGACCCCTGCTTAGCTGATAATGTGCTCATCAGCATGTGAATGTACAGAACAGACAGAGTGCACATGCTGTACATTAAATAGTAAATGCTCAATAGTGTGACACGAAAAAAAAAGATACTAAAAAGTGCTTTACAGGGTCTATACAAATATGATTGTATTGTATAACTGTGTGTCACTTATTGCATGTCGACTCACTACCTGCAAAGGGTGGATCAGTGAAAAAAAAACATTTGTTAATGATTATTTCATATTCTAATAGGTCAATCTGAGTTTTTCATGTAGGCTGAGCATAAAAATAGTCTCCTACACCTATCTGCTGCATTAGCTTCTGATAGAAAATAGATGGTGAAATGCTAAGATTTAAAAATCCTGACAGATTTATACAGATTCAGGAACTCACTCCTGTTGACTTGCAATGGGGAAGGCTGTTGTTGGTTTAGCGTCCAAGAAACAGCAGAGAACATCTTGGCTGGTAGAAGCTAACCATTGGCATTAACAACTCCACCACAGCACAGAATTCCACCAGGCTTTGTGTTATTTTTACGAACTTTTACAAGCTAAAAATCTCAAAGTATGTGACTGGCATGGTCGAAACCCCCATCATTACTTTTCATTTAAATTGCACCACAACATATGTGCGATCCAGGCCCTAAGGCTAAGCGGATTAGAAAATGGCGTTTTTAGCCCCGTTGACTTGCATTCCTTTTTTCATTCTTCCGGGGACCCATGATGCGGAAGTGACTTAGGCTCCCTATTTGTTTATTAAATGAGTATGTCTTTACAGGGGTAATATAGTGTGTAGTTAGAATAGAATAGAATAGAATAGAATAGAATAGAATAGAATGTACTTATTGCCCCTCATTGGGTGAAATCTAGGTGTAAGTTACCTTTAAAATGTATTATTGGTCTGTATTATATATTTTATTGTACATTTATGAACTGTGTTCATAACAAAGGTTTACAGAATAACGTTTAGAATGTCTTTTATTCTGCAATGTGGAATAAAGAGAAAAGAAAGAAGCAAATAATTATGTAAAATGGAAATAAAACTGATTGATGTATTATTTATTTATTTATGTAAACATGCATGTTAATTTTTTATGTGTGCAAATCGAATGTAAAACACAAATTTGCCAGTCAATAAAACTTCTAAATGAAAATGTAAACATTTATTCCAATTTTATTCCTCCTGTTGGTCTCCAACATTAAAATCTACAATCCTCCAAGTAAGAAATGTTTCCAAACCTTTGAACCCAAAACTACAGAAACATTTTAGACATCGTCTCTTGTTAATTTCATTCCTGACTCTTGGGGAACTCTCTACAAATTAAAACATATTTTGAAACAAAAGTAATGACTGTGTTTTATTTTTGAGCTCCCGACCGGAAGTGGTTACTCGCGTGACTGCCGCGGGTTTGACAGCTGATGTCCGGGAGCTGTGAGCGCACACGTCGCTCTCTCCACCACATCTCTCCACTGCGGAAGGACCGTGAAGGCGGCAGCAGCAGCAGCAGGTACAGTTCACTTGTTCCTGCTCGACCAAACCCTACAGGCGACTTTATCACTCAGGAGCTACTTTCTCTGAGAGGACGTACACAGCAGCATCTCCGACGAGGAGTGGACGAGAGCGGAGGAAGGACAACTTTTGCCCGTCTGCTCTTCTTTTCTTTTATTTTGTTGCCACATCCCCATAACCTTGGAAGACACACCTGGTTGTGAGAGGATGGGACCGCTACTCCCTCTCATCGTGTTGTGTTTGAGCGCCGCTGGCCCACATCATGTGGAAGGTGAGTGGAAAAGTGAAATTTTTAATTTGTTTATTTATTTACTCCACACTAAATAAACAACATGCCGTTTCTAAATACTTAAAGTGATGAGGAGATGGTTTTTATTCTAATGTCACGCAAACAGCTGCTTGAATTAGCATCATGTGCGTCCAGGGAGAGCCAGGGTTGTTTGTCAGATGTGGTGCGCGTTCACGACTCATTAGTTAATGGGTTTACTGGTGTTTATGGGCCACTTTTGATCCAGTCAGACGGTTAAAATCAGTTATTTATCCAGGTGTAATTCTCCTTAGTGGAAAAGACCGGATCAGTCCGCGCATTAGGCGCACAGATAAGATAAAAAATGGGCTCTGCTCCGGTATTTCTGCGCGCCCTTATAGTGATCATCTTCATCAGCTGCGTCTCTGTCTGTAATGGTTCCACTGGATAAAATATGCTGAGCGTTCAGGTTTAGCGCCCTACAGCAGCCACACTGTGTCCTCCTCTTCTTCTTGCTCTTTTTTTATAGCAAATTGAAAAAAAAAATGAAGATAAATTGAAATGTTTCTTGTATCTAGGACAGAGACAGACCCAGATAGCATCACTCTGAGGAGAAGATTACCTTCTGTTATTGCTGTACGTTATTGACCAGGATGACATCACACAAAAAAGGTCAATTAGATGGTACAAGTATAATGTGGAGTATTGGCAATCACAGTCAGATTGTCTTTTGTTGATAGGAAATGGCTAAAAGCTTATAAATTGACCTGTACACCTGAATCAGCTTTTTATAATCCTCCCTTATCCTCCCAGTTCTCATGGGTGGCAGGAATGTTTAAGCTCTTTTCCGTGTTATATAGTGTCGGTGATCAGCGCACAACAGTACCTGTGGGATTTTCCGTGAGGAAAACAGTGCAGAGCAGCCTTAATGGAAGTGGGTCATGCCATCCTCCTTGTCTCTGTTCATTTAACAACACGCTTGCCTCAGGAGTCACACATGTCAGACAGACCTCAGTCTCTAAACAAGGAGTCTGCCTCAAGCAGAGTTTCCAAGGCTCCCTAAGCCACAGTGTCAACCCCGAGTCCACCGTTGCAAGACATAATACTCCCTGGTAGGCTGGAATAATGAATCCAGAGGTTTTTACATAAAAAGAGAGCGGTGGAGCTTTGGGAGGACTTGTTTCAAAGCTCAGCGAGTTAAAAATACACCCAGATGTTCCCTCAATTAATCATATCCCAGTTAAATGTGTGGGATTGTAAAAGGGATCTCTGTTTCCAAGCTTTAAACCTCACCTACATGAAAAAAAGGCAACTTTGGGAGAAAGTTTATGTAGGTTTTTAAAAATGTCATCACTCCAGCCAAAGTTATCAAAAACGCTAAACTGACAGCATCCCAAGGCTTTCAGACTCCGCATCACAGTAAAAGAATACACTGTCTGTCCATTTTCTTTCATTTTTTTGAGTTCCGAAGGCACACTTCGCTCTCTTTTAGTCATTACTCAAAGTTAGCAGGTGTCTTTGGAGATAACAAGTAACAAGCACTAACGGTGATGTCACGGAGTGCAGCTGAAAGAAACTGATGTGGTGGAGACGTTCGCCTTCAGGTAGAAAACAGACTTCATTGTTCCAGTTTGGTGTGTAATACATCACATCCACCGGTTCGGTTCCTGCTGCTGCTCACGCTCACGCTGTTTGGTATTCTGACTGCCATCGTTGGACAAAGCTCATAACACTCAAATGAGGAATGGATGATGCTTTTGCGCCAATACAATAGTAACTTTTAATGAAATGCAAATATCTCTTATTGAGTGGGAGTGTGATTTATTAGCTGTTGATGCATCACATTTAACCAATGTGAGTGTCAGTGGTTGCTGTTTATTATTTGGTGAATTGTAACCTTATTAATGTTTTGAAATGTTTTCTTAAAGAGCAAGTCACCCAGGAAATCAACTATTTTTGCTGATAAATTATGTAAATGAGTGTCTAATCGTGCTGTAGATAAGTGTATTCAGTAATTTGGCACTTTAGTGCATCTTAGTTTAAATTTAAATATTCTGCCTAAAATTGTCAGTGGTGCACCATCTTCAGACAAAAACTCTGCACTACATTTGAATTTAAATCTGCCATTGCCATTGGCTAAGAGGTACCCAATGACGTTAGCTGGTACAATATGATGTCACAATGCCCCCCTCTCAGTCTGCCAGACAATGCCTTCTTGTGGTGCAGTTTTCAAACTAGAAATGGAAGTGGACTAAAACTCTGGGGAGGAAGGGGTGTGTGTGTGTGTGTGTGTGTGTGTGTGTGTGTGTGTGTGTGTGTGTGTGTGTGTGTGTGTGTGTGTGTGTGTGTGTGTGTGTGGGTGGGTGGGGGGTGGTGGAGGGGTTGATGCTTGAAACGGTTAGTTTCTCAAAAAATGACCAACTGCAGCCGCCCGTCTTCAGAGGACCTTCACTCAAGCAGACTTGAAAGGTGTGGGAAACTGATTTAATCAATACATTTACTCAGGGCCAAAAAAAAGCACAGAATTGCTTTTTTTCCCACACCCAACAAGTACGGCAGCTAAAAGCAGGATTTGGAGTCTTATTCTCTGATATTTGGACATCTTCCCTCAGATTGGATAACAGCAGTACAACTCTACCACTGACTTGTCTCCACAAATAACACAAGCCTGGAGGAGTTTTACTGTGTGGTGGTGGTGATGCTAATGCTAACGGTCACTTTTACTAGTCGGGGCATTGTCTTCTCGTTCCTGAACGCTAAAACAACAGCCTTTCCTGTCACAGGTTAAGATCAGTGAGTCCATGATGAAGTGACGTAGATCTGTCAGGCTTTTCAAATCCTAGAGTTTCACCATCTATTTTCCTTTAGAAGCTAGTTCAGGACATAGGTGTAGGAGAATATTTTCCTGTTCAGCCTGCATGAAAAACTCACAGTAACTGATTATAATCAGTCATAATCATTAAAAATCTTGCCCATCTGTATAAAATAGGCATAATTTTGACATAATTTAAAAAACGTACTTTCAACATATTTTTCAGTGAACCACTCATTTGAAGTGAAGAACACTTCAGGCAGAGGATTGGGAAGCCTAAAAGCAACAAGTGAGGCTGAGAGGCTTATGAGCCCCTAGGATGACTACAAATGATTTAACATCATTTAATCAATTAAACTGATCTGATTGTCACTGTTTTTCTTGCATGTCTCTTTTTTCTATAAAACTTGGTTGAAACCAACGGTCGGATCATCCGGTTGTCAGTCTCACTGAGCCCACTACACACCGCATTTACCTGGGTCCTCCGCTAATTACACATTCACCCATTTAGCAGCAGACCAGCAGTGGTGTGAGAAGTTCTCCACTCAATAATATCAGAGAAGGAGAAACAGCCGGCTGCTGCCACTTCATGGTAAATGGCCTGTATCAGATAAAGAGCCTTCTAGATTCCTGGAACCCCCCAAGGCACTTTACAACACAATCAGTCATTTACCCATTCACACACACATTTAGACCCTGGTGGTGATGATCTACATTGTAGCCACAGCTGCCCTGGGACACACTGACAGAGGCGAGTCTGCCGTATAGGCACCACTGGTTCATCCGACCACCACCAGCAGGCAAGGTAGGTTAAGTGTCTTGCCCAAGGACACAACGGCAGTGACAGACTAAGCAGCACTTAACTCCTGTGCCACAGTCACTTCCGCTATATGATAAACTACCAGAGTGTCAAAAACAAAAACACCATTCGAAGTCACGGACAACAAAATACAACTGTGGCTGGTGTTTAGCATTACAGTGATTCCTCGTTTATCGTGGTAGATGCGTTCCAGACCTGGCCACGATAGGTGAACATCCGCGAAGTAGGGACACCAATTTTACAGTACAGTACTATATTGAATTATTGTATGATCACATTCTCTTTTTGTGGGTAAAACTCAAGAAATTTTTTTTTACTTGTTTTTTTTACAGTTTTATTACAAAAAGTGCATTTTATGATGAAATTGATGAAAAAAACAGGAATTTCTTGATATTTTGCATAGAAAAATACCGCGAATCGGTGAAAAATACAGCGAATCGTCGATTTTCCCTTGAATAAGGCTCCAAAGAAAAAATCCGCCAAGTCGTGAATCCGCGATAAACGAACAGCGAAGTAACGAGTGATCACTGTATCTCGTTTACTGTGGCAATGCAGGTTCCGGTATCAGGAGGATGTGGCCTAGGGATCATAGCCCAAGGAAGGGGTTATCTGTGATCGTGTTTAAAAGCTAGCTTGTTTTGCAGATTAAGTAAAGCATCTTTAATCTGAGTCTAAAGCTGCTGATTTGAGAGACACAGCTTTGTTTGTTGGTGGTTATGTGGCCACCTTGGATTTATCAAACAGCTTTCATCCTCCAGTGAAAGGTAGAGCTGGTTTACAGGTCATGTCAGCTACCTTTACAGTGCCCTTCACTTTGGTTTCAGACGGCACAAACTTCAGTCAGTGGTGAAAGGTCGGCCCTTTTTCTGACCGTCAGGAAAACCAAAGGGATCAAAGAGACCGGAGGGACGACGCTCATGCACTTCATTGATGCAACGACACCAGCTGCTTTCTAATTTAATTTAGCTTTTAGTATATTTGCAGAACTAATTTGGGATATTCACCTCGAGGCCGTTGAAGGCTTAATCCCCTGATATCTGACAGAGAGGTAATTCGTCTTTTATGGTGACAAGTTAATGGATAAAGTGGCATTTGTCTTGTGCTGTAGTGAGACCTCTGTTGTCCTGCCTACATTTCATGCTCGGCTTAATAGGAGGACACTAGAGGGACAGTTATGGGGGATGCAAGGACACACACGGAGGAAGGACTTACTGAAGAACTTTATTAAAGCTGTGAAGTGAAGATGGCAGCTCATTGAGCCCACACACATCTGTGTTAGGTCTTCAAAACTCAAACTTTGTGTTTCTTTGTCATCAGATTTTCTCTTTTTTGTAACCAAGTAATCATTTGACTGATCCACAACATCCCACTCCACTAAAGTAGTGGACAGAG